TAAAAACTCTTCAACTAAAGAGAAACAAGGAAAACAGCAAGAATATAATCACGGCTTTTGCTACCAGGGTGTTAAACTTTCCATCCCTGTCTCTTGGGTACTTTCTTCTTTTGCTGAATTCTGTAGAAACATGCTCCCTCATCTTGCAAGGATGTCGTAATGAGAGGTTACATACCTTACTCTCTGCTATTCTCTCTTTCCAACTGTTCTCTGACTCCCAGGATTTAGGAGGTACCTGTGTGAAAGTCCTTATTAGCTATGTGAAGACAGAGAAAGCTCTCAGCTACTGAATTACCAACGCACGGGCTTCAGAAAAGCCTGCTAGTGAAGCTTTATTTCCCAGCCCTACTGGTCCTATTTTATTCCTCTGAACTCAAATATCTGAACAAAGTACATGAAATAACAAGCAGCACATATTTCCCTGAGCAAGAATCAAATGCAGAAAGTGTGTGCATATTAGAAATCCTGTTCTGTAGAAAATCTGCTTGTGCCAGGAAAACAGAACATATGTGCTGAATGAATTTAGGCAAACTGCACCTTTGCTGTGCTGCTTATGAAAAATCACATCTCCTACACCGGGTCCCTCACTGACACCAGCTTTTCATCAGCATTTCATCAAAATCAAACAAATATGAAAAACAAACACCAAGAACAATACGACTGGCTATACAGCATTCATGGTCCAACATATTTAACCAGGATTTGGAAAAGAATCTTGCTGAAGCTGAACACCTGCCCTGAAGTACCCAACAGACCCCCCCCAGAATATCCAAACAAGTGGTGGCAGGACAGAAGACAGTACGTGGCAGCAGGTAACTTGAACAATGCACACCTGGGCCAAGGGGGAGACAGGCAGCCCGCAGCAGCCTTCCTGCTCTGCTAGCTTGTGGGACATCCCTTCTGAGATGTAAACCCTAGGAGCTGTTTGTGCTTGTAGCGCAGCTCTCTGCAAGAGCCATTTCAAAAAATACACAGAATTGTAGCAGGAGGGTAACAAGAAGAAAAAGAAGGGAATACATATCTCTGGATAGATCAAAACATCAAATGCGTCAAAAGAGCAAAGTTCATCCCCGTTTCATCTCAAAGGAAAGTCCAGCTCCTTTCCATACCAGAGTCACACAGCTGTACCCAAACAGTAGGCAGTGAACATGTATTTTCTTTCAGTACTTTGCTGTCTGGTGGTGGTAACTCCCTCGAAAAAGCTGTAGGACAAATCCTTTTTGGCAACTGCAACACCAATGGCAATGAGTGTAACCAAATGAGGTACCCGTCTGTTCAAAACCAGTGTTTGAACCAAATGAAAGTAAGACTTAGGGATACTTCTGCTGCTCTGGAATGTCCATTTCTTTGTTGTACTCTTCCTTTGGTCCCTCCGTTCAGCTCTAAGAAAGCTCTTCCCTTGCTCAGTGCTAGGGAAAAAAGGGGTATTGGTCACTGATAGAGGAGGCGCTATAAGTACAATACACTGCCACACTTCAAACATTAAGTCCACCTATGGTACTTTGTACATCATATTTTCACTCTAAGACCACTTTGTTTACAGATAGTCATTCACTTGTTCAACTTAAACAGCATGGAAACAACGATGGTCACAGGCTGCTCGACAAACAGGCTTGGTCTTACTTTAATACCGTACTTCTAAGCTTCTTGATATTAGAAGCTTAGATATTTTCAAATTATTCAAATATATGGCTGGTATATTGCTAATGTCAAATAACAAACAGTATGATTTTTTCAATTTTCTGTTCTAGCATAGACACTGCCATTGAGCTGTTGTGTTTTAAAGACATCCCGACGTATAGTTTTTAGTCTATCCTCATGATAAGGGTTGCACTTCCGTGATTTCAACTCTGCTGGCACACACAAACTATTTCTGTCTTGGTTTTGGATTTATTTTTAAATGGTCTTAATACACACACACAAAAATAAAGAAACAAAAAGTAAAACTGAGCTTACTCCATGTTTACCTCTATTTGAGTTTTGCACAGTTTATATGATTCTGCCTGTTCAGGGTAAAAGACATCACATGGAAATTGAGATAAAAAACATGCAGTTTTTGCTATTAATTTTCCATCCAATATTCTAGTGAGGTCATTCCAGTATCTACAAACACATAAAAATTTGGTATTGCATACGATTAGATTGCTAATCAAGTTGTATCTTTATCCCAATGCATATTTACTAGCAACGATAAGGCTCTTTTTTAAGTTATGCTATCCTGTCATTGAGAAAACTGCAGAAGTTACTGTCACTTCAGGTAGCGTTTACTCCCGGATGGAGTAAATCTTCTGTTTCAAGATTGCCTGGGCTGACTGAAACATGTAGTATGCCGACCTCCAGGCAACTTCTAGGAACCTGCTGTTTCTCACTCTTCCCTGCCATCTCTGCCAAAACAACTGCAGAGGGAGTATCTAATCCTGGGACACTCAGCTGCATACAGTTTGCTCACAGGTCACAGACATGTAATATCTCCTACATTCCTGGGGAATCCTGTCCTTCACACATTCTCCTGGCATGGCTGGCTGTTCCAGTTATGAGGGGAGTAGACAGCGCCTGAATGGTCTTGGCAAAACTACTCAGTGGATACTGGAAAAATTTAACCAATGGTAAAAACGGATGTATTCTCACATGCACAAATCATGGTGTATAGAAGCACCAGAACTTAGAAAGTGCTCAAATAACCGATATACTACTTTAACTCGCACAAAACCAGACACAATAGCTGGGGGGATTATTATGATAGAAGCAGCACATTCTGGGAGAACCAGAGTAAGGTAAATCAGTCAAAAAAAAAAATCTCCTCCTGTATTACATGTGGACGCACCCTTGCAAGCCTTTTTAAAAAAGAAAATCTCCATGTTAAGTTATGAAAATGCAGCTGTTAATGAAGTCAGAGCTATTCAAGGGCACTAATTTCTTTGCAACTGTATGTTAGCTGCATTTCGTTCTCCATTACTTCTTGTAAGAACAAGCCCCAGCTCCAGCTCCTGTTGATGTTTGGATCAGCCATTGGAGACAGGCACTATAAGTTTGTAATTTTTACAGTATTATAATGCTTTGTGACTCAGGAATTATGAAAAAATTCTCTGTTATTTTTTAAATACATACTGCTGCACTAAAGTACTGAGGGATTTCTGACTAGTCGAACAACTGTCTTGCTCTGCATCTTTTGTACAGTTCTTAAAACCACCTGTAGAAGGGGTGAAATCCTGGCTCCGAGAGGCTAAAGGAGGCCAGACCTCATCCATGAAAACAGGGTCTCAGAACAGAGTATTGCTAGGGTACCTAGTAAGAAACTCAGCAGTAATTTGTAAACTCATTGACATGGATATATAGTAATATTTCTAGTTTGTCAGAATAAATCCTACTATTCATCATCAGCATAGTTATAGCCTACATCAATCATCCGCACTTCAGTCACCTTGTTCGTTCTCATACTCTGCTGATTCAGCTTTAAATTATATATTTATATCACTGATAGGAGTCTTTCAAAAAGGTCACAAAAGTGCATTCAATGTAAAGACAGTGGTTCTGTTTAGTGGATCCTCAGTAACTACTCCTTCTCTAGCTAACCTCATTTCAGTCAAATTAACTACATTCCACAAAAATTTGTATCCTCATCCTTTGGATTTACACTGGAAAGGATCACCAGGCTAGTCACAAAAACCTATGATGTATTACTGTTGCTTGACATGGACTAGTTTACATATGAACACCTCACACCTTCTTTCTTCTCCAATGTTCAGCCCTAGGTAGTCATACGGGAGATTCACAAGAGCTGAGCTCAGCCCAGCACTAGCTCCAAAAGGGGAAGACGCTGTACAGTTTAGCCCAAAGTTCACCTTATATACATTTTTATTAGTAAAAACAAAAGCAGGTAGTAAACATTTTGAAACAAGTCATGTATTTGCATCCAAGCACTTCAGTAAGTGTGACAAATGTTGCCACCTCATGGACAGGTGCAGGGTTTGATCCAGCTCAGCGGTAGGAAGGAAAAGGGATCAGAGAGATGACTCATTGCTGCCCTTTCACACTCTCCTGAGGGGGAAGCAACAGCTTGGCCAGAAAGACACTTTTGTTGCTTAGATTCACCTGGAACTCATTCATTTGGGTCTGAATCCAGAAGCCTGGCTACACACCCACAACTGGGGGGGGGAGGGGGGGGTGGGGAAGAGAAAAAAAGCTGCACATGTTCAGGGTATTTGACCATCTCCAATACCAGAGCAAGGGGGGAAAGAACGATGATTTTTCCTTGGAAGAAAACATAATGGTCAACATAAGACATGGCACGGTCTTGTACTGTCAAACAGTCAAAGGACAGCATTCAGGAGTAAAACATCTGAGTAACAGGACCTGGAGTTTTCAAGAGGGTGACAGAAATCTTCAGATTCACGAAGACAATCTCGAACCGGACATGGGGATTTTAATACCCCATACAGGTAGTGGCAGTTGGGAATCCTCTACTTGTAAACTGGAGACAAATGTCATTGTAGTGTATTCCATCATGTATTTCCAAAGCTTAAGTTTTATGTTATAACACCACATTGATTATTCACTGTTCCACCTCTTTTGGGGAACTGCTGCAGAAATACTGTGTCACCTGTTGAATTTCTCCCTTTCTGATGGAAAGGCCACTGGGCCATCCTCCTCTACAGGATAGATACTGTTACAAAAGCCATTACACAGGGTGTATCTTCGTACATTCATTCCAAATGGCATTATAATTAGCACTTAATATAACTGGATGAGTGTGAAAGGACTATAAAATGTTTAAACGAAAATAGAACCTTTCAAGTTTGACATCGGGATAGAACTTTAAGAATCAATGATTTTTTAAAATAAAGCTTTGTAAAAATAGATTCATAGTCAACATTTATGAGTGGTCTGAAAAAAGACAGTATAGTGATTAACTGGGAGTCTCCTATCATCGTGATCTCCACATAACAGCATAACAGTCTGCCTACATACGACTGACGAGAAAGAAGGATTTATACCAGCCTGATTTTAAATACGTTCCTATGTTTATTATATTTCGCTACTCCACTCTCCTAAAATGGTGGCCTCAGGAAAAGCTGCTTTGGCAGGCAATTGCAAAGATTTCTGTGGAGAGGAAGTGAAAAGACTGGGCATACAAACAAGGGCTGCTGCCATGTTCAAAGCACTGGGGAGAGTTCATAGAGCAAGATGCAGTCCTAAGTAAATGGGTTTCAGGCAATTTCAGTGTTAAGATAACATCATTAAGAGTAGAACAGATTGTGCTCAAACCCTGCTGTTTATAATTAACACATTGCTTCCAAATACTCCAGGGTCCCTGGTAAATAGTCCTCTGCTCAGATCCACCCAGACCAATCAGAGTATTTTCATCAGGTTCCATGCTGGGCCAACACCTGTTTGGACAAATCCAAAAGAGCCAAAATACTCTTCTTTCTGGCCAGCTAAGTAGAGAGATGAACACAGCTTGCCTTAGTCACTGTCACAGTGTCCATATGGCTGTGAAGCTTGTTTTCACAAGAAATCGTACAAGTACTTTATTATGTCGAAGTTCACAGTCCTATAAACAAAAACACAGTATATTAGAGCAATCATCTTAACAGTGCTAAGACTTTAACCTGTTTGGAGACAGCACATGTGGGACATTCTGCACAATCAAGATCAAGCAATATCCCCAAAAGAAATGCAATCAAGGATGAACGGATTTTTGAACTTCTAGTGTTACTTACAGTACCTGTCTTCTGATTATTTAAACTTTGTAAGATTCTAAAAAAGAAGTAAAGCAGCTTTCTAGTAAAAACTGGAAGATTCTTATATTGATCATTAAGCAGTAAAAATAGATCAAAGTTAATGACTGTATTTTCATATGGTAAACATGATACTCTAGTTGGTGATGCAAAGCAGCAATCTTTTATGCTATTGAACGTTTTGTTCATCTTCCAAACCACCTGTTTTAGCATGTACTACGTAACTCCTTCATCTGTACTCATTTGCAGTCTGCGTTCTTTCAGTCTTGACACTAGGTGACCCATGTTCATAGCTAAATTTGAAAAATCCAAGAATGCCGCTCAATGGGATAGAAGATTTTAATGTATACTTTTGTACTTTAATGGCAGGCAGAATGCAACAGCAGCAGAATAAAACGTGTAATTATTTTTTTGTCTCTAAACTCATTCTGCTATACAATCTAACACTCAGACTTTGGGGTTTACTGTTTGAATAAATAATGCAAATTACTGCATATAATGACAAGTATAAAATTAAAAGTTTTTTTAAAAAGTATTCAATCATGCAAAAATAACCGTTCACAATGCTAAGTGAGATTAACTGGCTGAATGTCTTATTTGTTAAGACTACAATCATTTAATATTCTCCGTTCACGCATCATTCTGTAACCCACTTTTCAAAAAGTTTCTATAAAACATCATATTGGACAGAGAAAAAGTTCAGAAATCCCCCAGATACATAACAAGAGGTACTGTGTTTCAGTCTACTTAATAACCCAGTGACAAAATTAAAGAAATTAACTGCCACTGTAAGACTCGCATGACATTGTGTCAGTCAAGAAAAGTACTTTAGTTGCAAGACTTTGCACAGAAACAAAATCACACATTCTAACAAATGCTGACCTTATCAACTAAATGAAACACAACTGTCCTGTCATCATCAACTGGGATCATTAGAGACTATATGAAAAGATCCATTACATTCAACAGTCATTAAGAGATCCCTATGTCAGCTACAGAGAACTTATGAACTTAGGTCTGATATTCTTAAAACAGAAATTAAAAATTTCCAACAAAGAAACGTCTTAACCTTACCTTCAGCCAAACGTGTAAATACTACGTGGTAAAAAGCATAGGAGTATCTCTGCAAAGACTGAATATATGCAATGCAATAGAGACAGACATGAGGTTCTGTGGTATTAAACAGAGACACTGTCCATGGCCAGCAGTTATCACACTAAATGCCACCAGGAAGAAACACAAGTTTTCTACTTTTCCAAACACAGGTGGCTCTTGTTTTTTAAAAAAATGCAAACTTCACTTCTGCTTAAAAAAATAGGGAAAATGAAATTACAATCTGAACAGCTTGAATGGGGGTGGGAGAGCACATCATTTTCCGTGCTGCTCTTTGCACTCTTCAGCCTTCCATTAGGAAATATGCTAAATAGCAAGGCTGAGATGGTAACAAGGCTGAGGTATCTGAGGATTTTAATGACTTAACATACTTATTTTAGTAGCATTACAATAACAGAAAAGATAATCGGGAGATGGGCTGCTTACTTGAAGTTTATTTGGTTGAAACAGCAAAGTAGTTCCTTCTCTGCAATAAATATAACCTCCCCATGTGTGGTTAAAAACCACAGGCAGCTGCAAGATTATGGCACAGCTAGCAATTGAAATTTCTTAAAGCACAGGAGATTGTGCCTTTGCCCTGTAGCTAGTCCCATCAAGACATGGGGGAAACCCATTTACCATGGGTTCATGAAACCTTGTATCTTATCTGTGGATTGTCTTCCTTAAAGATTTAATAAAGACTGTGGATTGGAAAAGATAATAAAAGTGTAACAAAGGAACAAAGCAAGGAAAAAAAAAGAACAGGAGAAAGAAGAACAGGCCAACTTTAAAATCTGTCAGGTCATTTAAACGGCCTTATCTATACCGCATATAAACACCTCCAAACTACTTGGGGGAAAAAAAAAGAATTGCTTTCTTCCTCATAACATGTAGGAAAAGTCAGTCAGGATACATACACACACATCTGACCTAAAGGAAGGCAAGCCAAAGCACTATATCGTGCACTGAGGTTTGAAGTGGCAGCGTCTCTGACGACTACTTTCTCTGATAAGCATGAGCTGCATAGCACAAGTTTTGGTCCTGTTTGGAAAATCTCTACCTTCTGGCAACTTTAATGGAGTCAATAAAACTTCTAAAGATGTTTAAGTTGCAAGGACAGGGCCGTCATTTCAAGTATCTTAATTCAAGGGCCCTCACAGTTTATGAACTGGTCTCTGTATTCACCGTAGGAGTTAGAGCAGAGACAAGAGCTTGGGGATGTCTGTACACACAATGATCCATGTTGCTGAGCAGATGGTCTGCTGTACTTGGTACCAGTGGGAGCTTTTTCAGGGCATCTTTCACAAGTGACTTTATTGTTAGGAATAGCAAACTGACATAACGAAGCTGTGGAGATCCTGGCAGTGTGGTCCAGCCAGGCCTGAACCAGATGAAGTTTCATTCTACGGCCTGTCCAACTGCAGATTGAAATTAGTGTGTCCGTGGGGTTTACTGACAAGGCTATTGGACTTTTAATAGCTCAGGAGAGCAACATGTGCACTGAAGTTATGGGATATGGCCTACACCACAGGTTCCTCTGAAGTCCCACATTACAGAAAAGAGTTGGCCCTGAGAACATTTCTCCTCCTTTTCGCTACATGTCATTTCTGGGCCCTGTTCTGACTATAGACTCTTTATGCAAGACCTGCTAATAAGCTGGCTGCAGCAACAGGTGTGAGGTAATGCTGTTGGCATTTCATAAAAATGAGACATAGGCTTGATTTGTTGCCTACGTATTGCATGCATTTCTGTCTGTAATTTATCATCATGTCTCCTGATGGATCTGGAACTGTTCTCAGACTCCAAAACTGAAGGCTCTGAATGTGAACAGAGCTGTTGAGGTACCTAAATTCATTTATTGAATTAGTTTGTATCAACTACAGATCACACAAGATAGACCATGTGGAAGAATTCTTACAATCTATGTAGTTTTAATATCATATGTACAACAACCACTGTTAAGAACTAAATACCATTTCAGATTCAAATACCATAACGTGCCTTTTGGTAATGAAATGGAATGACATTTTAGAGCAGTATTTTCACATGAAGTCCCTGACCTTTATTAAGCACAAAGACAGTATGTTACTGTAACACATACTGCCACTGTAAGATAAATTTTTTTTCAAAACAGAATTGGACCAAACTTATCTCAAGTTCAACACTTCTCATAAATAAGACTCATTCACTCATTCTTAGTAAACATCAATTGATTTCTGTTCTGGTCTGCAGAGAGCTAGTGACTGAGCAAATACTGGTTTTGAAGTCTCTTTCAAGTCAGCAAATACACAGTAATTGATTTCTAATAGGCTCACCGGGCAATAGCTCTGATGAAGTCCAAAGATACAGTACATTTATATCGTGGTCCATCAAGCTGGTCATTATGGCCAACCATGGATAACAGCTGGAGAGTCACAAGAGAGGTGATCTACGAACAAGAGACATTAGTAATATTAGTCATTTTTGCTAACATAAATGGCAGTGGACAATTTTTTTTTTTCCATTTGTCATCATTCCCATGTTTCTTCGGAAGTCACTCATACTTGCTCATTGATTTTCACATAGTTCTAGAGCTGGCAAACCCAGGAACGTATACACATTTTCACCATTACATTTTCAGCAGAGGCAGTGAGAGACACAGGCTAACCCCTTCATCCTTCATATCAAGAGTTATCCTGGAGTTCCGATCAGAGAGAGAAAGGTGATGTGGGGAACAGGAATAATAGGCATGAGCTGAACATTTTCCGAATCTCTGCCTGACAACCAGGAAAGACTTCGATTCTCTTTCCTTTATACCCAAAGACCTCCTCTTGAACTTTCACACTCAAAGTTGGATATTCCTGTGCCAGCTCATACCACATTTTGAACAGATGGATGTATCACTCTACTCCAGATAAAAAAGATTTTGAAGGTTGGAAAGGAAAGGCTGGAAGATTGTGTGCTTAAAAAGAGCAGGGCCTGAAAGGGGAGAAATTTGCCTACAAACACACATACAGTGTCTTGACAGAGCCATTAATTATTTTACCAAAACAGCAATGTACCAGCATATTTTTCACTATCTTCATTCCTCTAAATGATGACTGCGGTATCACTAAAGTGCAGTCGTGGGATGTCACCATTGAGTGCAACCAGTCTGTTCTGCCTCGGTTAGGAAAAAACTCTGTGGTGAATCCGCTGTCTCCCTACCTCTTCCCAGCTCCCAGGGGAAAGGAAGAGGTAAAAGCAGAAAACAAGAAAAATTTTCCCTGGCCTTTGCTATAGATGCCACTGACAATTCAAGGCAACAAGATCACATTCAATGAAGAACTGGTATCTGACCACAGCTCTACTTTTCAAAAAACCCAGCCAACCATGACCTACCTCTGTGTAATGATAATAGCATAGTAAGGAATTTCTGAAGAATAAATATATCAGGAAAGAGAGTGTCAGTTCAAACCTTCAAGGAAGCACACTGCTATAAAAAGCAGCAGCAAGTTCTTACCAGCATCAATCAAAAAAAAATCTTAACTCAGTAATAACCCCACTCTTTTGCTGAAAGTGAACTTGGTCTTCAAATTTGTGACAGTGCTTGCAGGAGGTAAGAGTAATTATTAAAGTTTTCCCTTAAGTGGACATAATATAAAAAAATGACTCCTACCTACGGAGAACAGAAAAAATTACGGTCACCAGTTCTTACCAGCATCAATCTCAAAAAAAAATCTTAACTCAGTAATAACCCCACTCTTTTCCTGAAAGTGAACTTGGTCTTCAAATTTGTGACAGTGCTTGCAGGAGGTAAGAGTAATTATTAAAGTTTTCCCTTAAGTGGACATAATATAAAAAAATGACTCCTACCTACGGAGAACAGAAAAAATTACGGTCACCAAGAACAAGCCAATTTTTGTAACAGCCTGTGCTTAACTTTCTTTTATATGGCATTAAGCAGCAATAGTTTGGATGCCATCATTCTGCAAAGTCTTTGGAGTTTGGTTAAGGAAGTGGCCTACCCATATTCACAAAGACAAATTCCATTTACTTAATTCAGGTCTACAAATTACATTAAAGAGTAGCACATGATTTATAAATTGTTAGCATTGACAGCATTTAAAGAAAACTGAACTCAGTGTATGGTAAATGGCTCAAAATCCAGCTCACGAATCTCTTCAAACATATCACTGAATTGGGATCAACCTCAAACTTGTGTTTTTATTTTCTTAAAATACTCATGACTTTGAGAGCACATTTTTCTACATTCTTCATTCAACAAAGTCCTTATTCAGTCAGTGAAGAAGCATTACGGAGTAATCTGATGTAACAATTGCTATTTTACACCCCAGTGCACCATTACTGGTGAATCACTTCGGCAATACATACTTGCAGCTGGCCTCACATTCAGAAATCACCAATGAAGGAATGGCAGGAGGCTCCTAAAAGCTCCCAACGAGCACAGCAAAAGCCTAGGCAGTTTGGAGTTGGACCCATCCCAGTTTTATGTGGGATGTAAAAGCGACCTTGCTGCCGCATTACAAATGCTCCAGCAATACTTTAACAACAAATTGTAACCATTTTCTTTTCCAACTAGCACCAAATATTATGTGTGTAACATAAGGTCGGCAATGTAAAATTCCTTACTAAAGGCTGACTCAATAAATCTGAAATAGCATCACAGTAGATACTAAGTTTCATTAATGTTTTTGACTCAAGACATTAACTCTGAAGACTCAATATACAATATTACAAGACAAATGAAGCTACTGATCATCAGAGTAACTCAAACTTACTTAGCAAACTGCAACCTTTCATTAATTTCTTTCACAAACCCTATATTTAATTAGCTTAATAAAAATGTCACCACAGGGAAGTGAGTGCTGAAACAGTGAGTCCTGATCCTGAGGTTGCTTAAAAAGACGGAAGTAGAAAGAACTGTCATTTTTCAATTCATGCAGATAAGAAACAGTTTTATCTCCAAAGAGGCTCAGTAGAGACAAAGAGAAAGAACATCTATCTAAGGGGAGTAAACAGGGACCAGCTCCCCTATGGACAGCCAAATGTTAGAAGCTAAAATACGTAAGTTGTGAGCCACTGGAGCAAAATTCAAAACCTAGTTACAGATGCCTAGCCTTTACATGGAGAAAGGCAGAGATCTCTGAAGGACAAATCCAAAAGCCTGCATGCTGAGGGGGCAGCAGCCCAGAGCTCTGTTTGCACAGCTTTTTCAACAGGTTCAGGGAGAATCAAAACCAACAAGAGAGTTCTGTCACCCCAAAGCAATGACTTCATTTTTTCTGCTTTATACGATATAGGAGGATTCTCCTGTTGATGAGTCAGACACAGAATTGGGCAACACGCATTTTTTGCAATAAACTGCTTTAGCAGAAGAAAAGGCTCAATTGTCGTAGAGGTTGAATTATTAAGTTCCTCAAATATTTTGCACTGAACCTATCTTTCTAGACCTGATGAATAAAAATAAGACGATTATCTTCACCAAATGGTTAAGAAGTCTTCTAGGACACAGAAGGTTCAATTCCCTCCCGACACAAGAGGTTTGAGGGCCTCTTAAGTAAACATTTAACAGCTAACTGGGGTGCAGGTAGTGGAGGAAGGAAGAAAAAGCTATGTATGGTATTAAATCATTACCAGATCTAACTTTCATTCTAACTGCTTCTGGAGCTGAGCTATTTTGCATAAAATTGCATTCATATAAACAGTTTCTCTGTGCCTACTTAGGGCATTCACCTGGTAAAGCAGGATACAGTGGAATGCACTGGGTTTAAGACAGTGTATTTGTAGCAAAATTTTTAAAATCACCGATTTTCATGTTCTGTTAACTTTTAAGGTCCAAGTGCCACCTATAACTTAAGCACTGAAAAAACGTTACTACTTCAAAAGTTCAGGTGTTGTAAAACTTTGGAGGCAATCTGTTCTTAAATGAAGATACATCAAAAGTTTGAAACACAGTTGGGAAAAATATGAATACAATGTCAAACTAATTGCACTTTTTAGCAAAAAAAAAACTTTTCAAAGCTTTTTTTTTTTTTAATACCATGGGTACAGTGGCTCCATTTCATTATCACAAAAGCTTGGGAAAAAACATCTGGCAAGAACAGACTAGGAACAAGCCAGAAAAACTGTGTGGGTGACATAAGAAAGAATATTTATTGAGAATCTTTTGAACAAAAGAAATTACAGTTGGAAGAAATATTCTAAAGCTATTCATAAAATTAAAGTTAGATCTGGTAATTATTTAATACCAGCAAAAGTTAATAAGTAAATGGAAATTTCTACAGGAATAACAGGAAAATCTGAAGAGACGTTACTGATCTGAAAGATGTGAAGGAACAGGTGTCACTGGTATGTTTAAAAATAAGCCACGACTGAGCTTTCTTTGAAATGTATTTGTGTGAAAAACCTGCTGCTGAAAGCTTGGATGCAAGGTGAGAATAATTATAAAAGCATGGCAGAGAGTTGCTGCCAGGAGGAAATGACCACTCAGATTGCTTCTGGAGATTCACTGGTCAAATATGGACATTGAAACCTCTGGAAAAAACAAAGCAACCCACAAGCCATCCTTAAAGGCTGCTTTTTTCCTATCAGCCTGAGCTAACAGATGGGCCTTGCATCATTCCTCAAGCAGACACAAAGACTGGCTTTGTCAGCATACGGCTGCGTGGAAGCAAGAAAGATTCCAGAAGTGCGGGCTGTCTGCTGGGAAAGGCCAGGCTCTTCCCAAGGACACCATGAGAAGCCAGAAAACATTCATGGAGGTGCAAAACATCAGCAGAATTAGGACCCGAGGTACAGGGAAACACATGGTTTGTTTGGGTAAGCAGTGACTGATTATCACAGGAAAGAATCAGGACAAAGTGTGGGGCACATCTCAAATCTGTAGGATAAAACTAAAGAGAGAAAGTGATGCTGACTATTGGGGGGGGGCAGGGCGTGCGGAGAGAAGCTGTTTCCTTAGAGATGTGATTGAAATCTCACTGAGTGGTACATTTTAAACTGGACTAGATAAAATACTAATGAAAGACACCAGCAGGAACAATCTCAAACTGGCAGAGACATACTAGATGATCTGCAAGGTATTTTTCACTTCCACAGTCTATAATCTTCAATTATCTTGCCCAAGATGCATTGTTAATTGTAACTCTTCAGTCTGGCTTACTTTCAACCACAGCTTTAATTGGTTTTATGATTCTGAACTTCAAACCTATCAAGAAATTAAGAACTTTCATTATTTCAGTACCATCAGACAAGGGTACTATATTCTCTCACAGTCGTATTAAAATTTATACGTACCCTAGCACTTTGCAGCACCATCATCACACAGCTCTCAAAGCAAACATGCAGCTCACTGCACTTGTTCGAAACCCACCGCTGCCGAGAGTTAGGTTCACGCACATGCTAAAACCACTGCTATGCAACAAGACAGTTTGAAAACCAGATGCC